AGAAGGGCAAGAACCTGCAGTTCTGGCGCAGGGCAGGTGTGTTTCTGCTGCTTGGATGCAAACAGAAGCATCCAAGAAAGAGCACCCCGTGGAAACCGAACTGAACCACGTGAGATTCCAAACACTCATTCAATCAAACAATGTATTATATATATATATATATAAATTATATACAACATATATATTATATATATGGGTTATATTACAATTATTGGATTTATATAGAATAAAACGAGTACACTGGCCATGAGATTTCCATGGATGTCCCTCTCCACAATGGCTTCCGATCTGCGTGTCTTCCTTCAGCCTGCCGCTGTGTTTCCCTTGCTGAGCACCTCCCCGGGCCGTCTGGGCACCCCTCACATCTTCCGCACCATGCACACCGTGGATCGGAACATGGCGCCGTGGGTCGAAGACCCCAGTTCCAGTCACGGTTCCAGTTGACTTGGGAAGTCGTTTTTTTTTTCCGATATCAAAGGAGTTTCGAGTGTATCAACAGGTGATGAGGTGGACCGGAGTAGCTGCAAACAGGTTGAGTTCCAGTGGGCTTGGTTGGCCTTCTGTTGGAAGTGCTGCGAAGCATCCAGACTCACATGGACCCTGTGGTTTCGGCACCCTCAAAGACTGTTCGTTTTCAGGGTATTTTTTTTGGAGTCTCTGGGTCTACTCATTCATTCCAATGGCATTGGCAAGGGTCTTTGTATGTCATCAATGGCTGCGAGTCGAAGCCCGAATTGATTCTGGATGGCTGAACTTTGCCACGCCTGCATCCCCAGTCCGATGCTTATCACATGATTCTCACTGCGTGAATCGTCGATATGTGGGCCGAACAACTTTGGATCCGAGGATCTGAGTTCCCCCTTAAACAACCGGAAAGACCCCACAAATCCAGTGGAAAATGACCCCAACACACTTGCTGTAAACACACTGGTGATGGTCATCTACCAATGACCGTTGGCATAAACTAGTCTATGACAGTCTATAACAACCAAGAGTCTTCAATAACCAAATCCAATGGAAAATGACATCAAAGACACACTGGAGGGGCCGTATGAAGCTTCACCTACTGGAGGGGCCGCACTTTATACAGGCGTCGCTCAGTGTGGCCAGGCGATGCCGTGGCGTTTCTTTCTATTTGGAGGAAAACACTATACCCTGGTTGGAAAACAGCTCATTGTTTCACAAGGGTTTCACACTACAAAACCCAGGTCGGTCCACCTTTAATGGATGGCGACTACGGGTGCGCATAGATTCCAATAGGGAGAGCCCCCAGTTGGATCGAGGCTGCTCTGAGCAGACTCAAACCGGCCCAAAGCTGTTCAGCGGCCAGGGGTTCTTACTTTAAGGGAAGACGAACCAAAGAGGGGCTGCCCTGGATGTTGTCCAACAAAGGTGCCTCTGACCTTGCAGGTTTAGGAGCAGGTGCCCTGCTAGATTGGTCACACCTGCTAGATGGGTGATAGGGTGAAAATCAGGCAGATCAATGTAGTTCATATCAAAGATATAATTGGTCTTGCAGTGTCTTATGTTTCAAAGGAAGGCACCAAGAAAGTCACTCCGGCAACTTCCACTTGCAAGACATCCGGAATATTCCTACCATAATCAGCGTCACCGATATTCCTACCATAACCAGTGTCACAACCTCACTCAAGTATGGGGATATCCATCCCCATCAATACTACCATTTCTGACTGATCTAAGGAGTGAGCGTGACCAACATGCTGAGTCTGCTAAAATCCTGCACACCACCGGAATATCCTCCCCACTGCCGTTACGCGCATTCCGCACGTTCCGCACATGGGCTGAATGTCGAAGTTTTGTTGGCACGTTGCTCCGTTTGCACGTGATTCTCGAAAAGACGCGACGTCCTCCACATCGGAAGGACGTCGGCTGTCGAGTCGACTGTGGAAAAGGGATCGGAGAATCCTGGGAGGGCCTCCGCCGCAAAACAAAGACCAAAACGCCATCAACGGAAACAACATATACAAACACCTCCAAAGTCCATTGCACAATGGAAACTTACATTAAATCCCGTTTCATCTCATGTCATTTCCAGGTTCCCAGCATGCGTTTGAAGGTAATGAAGAAATGAATTATAAGTGCAATTTCAAGGGAACTGGTCAACATGTCTCCTCTCGCTCTCCGAATGCTTCTCACGTTCCCAAGACTATAGTCACTAGTGCACTCAAGCTACCTAGCGCCTCACCCATTCACCTTGATCATACACCCTCAGTTGTTCTTCTGGGCAACCAAAGTGAATCTTAATCTGTTCCTGATTCTTCAGGTTGATATAGAAATCAATCCCCAAAACCTCTGACCGGATGATCCCTTTTGTCTTCTTTTTCTTGCCTCTCCAAAAGCGTGTCTTAGAAGTGATACACTCCCGAAAACTAACATGGACCCTGGCAAGGGCCCCCTGGGTCCGAGTGCTTTCCTCTACCAACCAGTGGTTTTTCAGGGTCCATGGGATCGTCTTCCAGGGTCTGAAAACAACTCACTTAGGACGAAAACCTCGGAGGTTCATGACTTGACACCTCACCGTCCTTCACTATCCACCACAGCGGTCGGCTCTCTCCCAGGACCGTCGGGTGAGAACGGCAGCCGGGACATCTGACCAGACCTCCAGCGCTCTCCGTCGACTCATGCATGACAGGGTGTCTCGTTCCGTGACATACCGTGACCAAGACATACCACCACAGCGTAGAAACCAAGAGACCAAATGTGACGTATGCAACACGTGGCCGTGAAACATGGTCCTTTTAGAAACTGCCAATTTCTCTATGAGGTTCTCCAAACTGAATGTGTTTAGATATCTTGAGATGCTTGAAAAAGAAAGCAACCAATGGACAAGTTGAAACAAGCTGACCACTGAAACCAAGAAAACCCCTGGCCTGATCGGTACAAACAAACGCGCATCGGTCGCGTCGAGCGTCGCGTCGTTGGGCGTATTCCAGTCCCTCAGACTCCGACACTAACATGGAAGTGGAAAGCTCGGTGTGTGGGAGGACTATTCTCCTCTACAAACAGGTGGAAAGCTCCACTTCCATGTTAGGGGTTGTCAGAGGGTACCGAAAGCATTGGGGTGATTCTCGTGTTTTCCCAGCGGGCCGCCCTATTCCAGTCCCAGACAGCTTGTGTCAGTGAGAGCGTGAGATTCAAACACCACAGCTGACAGACCGCGCTGCCTGTCAGCCTCTGTCGGGTACGGACCGGAAAGAATGACTAAGGAAGGTCATTCCCGACACCTGGCTCACACCCTAACCACCTTCGAAACGGAGGTAGGCCAGGAACCCTATATAGAGGGATTTACTTGGTAGATGATGGTAGATGATCATCCCATGACAAGCTCCGCAAAGATCTCGTCTCATGTGGCGCAGTGTGGCGCCCTTGTGGCCACTTTGGCTCCGGTGCAACGCAAGGAATCGCTGAAGGCCCTGCCCAGCAGCTCCGGCCTCTATGCAGTGCGGTCGACATGCTCTCCGCTCGAAGCAGTGGGAGTGATGAGCGATCCCAAAGATCCAAGGAGTGGTGAGTGAGTCACTCTACATAGACTCTTACAAGGGCCCCCCCAAAGGGGTGTCTGTTACGAGCCCCTTTTTTTTGAGGTTATCGGGTGTTCAGTAGACTTCTGTGTGAACCAGCTGAGTCTTGCTTTTTTACTTTGCCACAAGTACTGCATAATGCAAGGTAGATTGACAGCTGCTTCCCAACACATGCAAACACATGCCAATCAACAATCCCCCGCATAAGGAGTCCTTTGGAAGAAACATTTGTTGGACTGAAACCGAGTCAATGGATTGTCTGCCGCGTGTGCCACTGGATGGGTCCTTTCCGCAGAGGTTGAAAGATTCCGACCGAACTGTATGGGACCGCAGAGACAGCCAGGGACATACGCATGTTAACTATAATGGTCATAATATAGGATGGGCATGGATGTGCTATGCTGTTCAACCTTTGTAGGCGTTGCTTCGAAGAAAACACCTCCCAGGCTGCGAGGGAAGGCTGGTGCACCACCTGCCCCGATGTCGACTACTCGGGCGCATGGAAGCGCTGAATTTTGGCGGCGAGAATATCGATTCACGCCATTCATTGGGGTTGGTTAACAAGATGTGCCTGGAACCTGAGTGCTATTTTGGACCACCAACCACTCAACATGTGGTCTTTTCCGGTCAAAACAGAGGTCACTCCGTCTCTAGGCATATAAATATATAGCTCGACGGTGCCAGGACTCCCCGTTTCGGGGTGTCTGTCTATCATCCAGCGAAAAGCAGCATCATGGGGTGTCCATTCGCCAGCCCGTCGGGGGTGTCGTCCTGGTGACTGACGTTGGTTTGGTGTAGCCAAGACGCGGTCTTTATGGAACAGCCATACGTGTCCAATGTGGGGGTTTTGGAAACCCACACGTGTCCAATGCCTTGAAAAATTGTGGGTTTCGAATTGAGTCCAATCCCCAGAAAGGTGGGATGTCATGTTTAGGATGTCATTCAGTTTAGGAATCATGGGTTACCGTACCCAATGACGACAATAGGCCGTGGAACTATGGGGGACTGGGGACTGTTGTTGCAGAGATGACAGCTACGTACGAATGTTCGTGACTTTCCAGAATCTCGCGGGAGATCTTTGGGTACTGTAAAAAAGAGATGGACTCGGTCACCACAAGGAAGATACGGTGTCCAAAGGCATCTCGCCAAAGCTGCTCCAGTTTTTGATGAGGATTTAGACCAAAGTCGGCCATGACCATGACCATCCCCAATAGGTTCCGCATGGTTGCACCATGTCCATAACTTATTATTCAACCGCTGTATTTGGTCAGATCCATCAAGCAACAAAGTGAACACCAGAACTTAGCATCACACTGTCAAACCACTTGTTAACCAACCTGGCAAAACAGCCGGTGGCACGTGGTGTCGCGCAACCTCGCCGTGTCTCCATGGCTTCTGCTTCGGCTCGTGTGTCTTCTTCGTGCCAACGGCAGTGCTTCCCCCAGGGGCCCTGGGCCCTCAAACAGCGGCTTGGCCTTGGTAGCGACGTGACTCACAGGTGCCGTGGGTTTACAAAGCAGACGCGTCTCGCTTGGTGCTCGAGGAACCCGGGAACCCGGCAAGAAATCAAGAATGTTCTCCAGGTTTGGGGATTTACCGGGGAAATAAAAAATAACAAACGATCCACAAAACCAGGGTGGATGTCTCAAAGACTGGATGCGAAGTCAAACAGTTCTGGGGAAGCGAGAAAAGGGCATGTTCCCAGCTCAAAAGGAGGCAAAACTCATCAAGGTGTATGTTGTGTCGTGTGGACACAACGTACTTCAATCGAAAATCAAAATGCATTGTAATAATCTATATACTAATACTGCACGAGTACCATACTGTACCAGTACTCTCTAACAGATCACCACCTGCGACTTTTAAGTCTCCAAAAGCCACCATTTCGGAGACCTGTTGATCGTGGGGTGCTGGTAGTATAGAACCACAAGTGCTGGTGCAGGTCCCTCTTCGTTCTCAATCGGAATCCACCAGCGCCAAACCCCAACGAAAGGGCGGTGAAAGACCCGTTTGAGCTGCTCTTCAGCGTCTCGGGGCTCAGCAGTTGTGTTGGTGAACGGATACCGGCTGAACATGCGTTTGTATTGTTGGTGCCTGTAGCAAAGGATCTCAGCATACCTTATCTGAGTACGTCGTATATATCCAAGTACCAACCAACCAAGCCACGCAAGAGCCCAGTGGTACATGTATCTGATGCTCTCCATGGATCTTGAGTACATTGACAATTGCCGTCTGGCCAGGGTCCCATGTGGCCAAGTCTATCATATCCCCATTGACTTGGAGCACTCTAGAGACTCTGGACCAGACCAAAAACCACTGTCAGGAGTGGATTGTACGGTCTCAAACGTGCTGCATTTCTTGCGTGTTGTTTTTTGTAAAGACTAAGTCGCACAAAGTCACATTCGGTCACATTGATGTTCAAATATGATTGAATCATTCCAAAGATTCAATCATAGGCCAACATCAAAATATGACTACGGACAGGTCTATCATTTCAAGGGTTGTGGCATGTTCCTTCAACAGGTCGAGGTCTCAAGTGGGTGACCCATGAAACCCATGAAGCTCCAAGCGTCATTCCCGCAACCATTCTCACAAAGTCCACACCCATCTGCCAATCTGCCCTGTCAGCCCAGCACCATCCAGCCCTGCGGAACAACGGAACTCCGTTCTTCGCTCGCGCCGGATCTCACCACAACGAGTCAAGACTGAAGAGTGCCATGCCACCTGCTGTGTCGCGGTTGGACACAGCAGACCTGGGCGAAGAACCCAAGCGGAGAGAAATCTCAGGGGGTGTAGGATGAAAAGCTGAGGCATGGACCCATCATGTTTTTAGTTGGCAAGTTGGGCATCAAACAACTTGGCCCTATACTATAGCTGCGCAGAAACTCTGGCCCTTCCCACTCTTCTATCCCTTCACTCTCCATCAATCCCTCCAACCTTCACGCAAAATCACCCGTCTAAACCCTCCTGTCACACCCTCCACCCTCCACTCCACTCCGTCTGGGCTCCATCCTCCTCTCCGGGGCTGGGCTTTCCCCGACACCACATCGCAGCCGCAACCCATGGAAGGCGCCGCCCCCGACCTAAGACCACCGGGAATCCTCCGCCCGGCTCGGCGTCCGAGCGTTTTGGTCACATGATTGATGTGCATGTTTCTTCAGGTGGGCTGACTGGAGAGGATCCAATATTGGACTCCTTCCTCTCAGCCTCTAGCCTCTAGCTTTACCACCAAAAGCACTGCACGAGATCAAGGCCAACAAGAAGCAGCAGCACAAGAAGCAGGAAAAGAAGCAGAAGTACAACAAAGAAGTTGACATGTTTGTGCTGTTCTTGCTGAAACTCCTCTTACGCTTTAGCTTTACCACCCTCTTACGATGCACAAGACCGAGGCCAAAACAACACTGAGGCCACAGAACTAGGAAGAAGGTGTACATGGCCAAAAAGATCAACTCACCTTTGCATTCTCATCCTCCCTTCCCCTTCTTCCTTCCTCTTCCTCCTTCCTGCTTGCTGGCCTAATCTTGGCGTAAGCCTTTAACCATGTCATCACAGGACCATCCTGCATGGGCGCCTAATGGTAGCCCACATGTATTGTAGTCGGAGACCCATTGGATGGTCCAGGTCAGTGGCTGGAGGTCGGCTTTCCAGCCAAACCATCCATGATTGGAGTCCGCTACCGAAGAGCGCCCAGCCGAGCCCTCCCCTGGCTGTCCAGCTTTCCCATGTCTATCCCAGATCTCTCCACATGAAGGCTCATCAAAGCTTCAGGGTTTGGGATGGCGAATCTGTTTTATGCCTAAGGATCCACTGGCACCCTGTAACGTAATTACGGTGATTGGACCCAACATGGTGCCTACATGAAAAAAAGTATCCAATCACCTTCCCAGAGGGTATGTGGATCTCTAGGGTATCATGCTCGGTGCTGCAGTTGACGTTCCTATTGGTCGTTTGGTCAGCAGTTCCCATGCATCCACCGGTTCCAGCGACATGTTGCAAGGACGAAGAATCCAGCATGTTCCAACAAAAGGGTGCCATCCCAGGCCTTGATGGCGGAAGAAGAGGATCGAAGTGGGGACTGACTCGGAATCATGACGTTGATGGCGTTTTCCGTGTAAGGGTTGGTCTTAAACTCCTCTTTGAGGTCCACGTTCTCCTCAAAAGTTTCTGACCCAAACCCGAATCACTAGTCACTGGTCACTATGCTTCAGTCATCATCCCGGTCATCCCTTTACCTTTGTTCTCCGAACGAAGCAGAAACGCAATAAAGACAAAGCAAAACGCGGCGTCTGTGCCCCCCGGGCGGAGCTGGGGGCTCACAAGCATCGACCTGGGCCGCTTCTTTCCGTCCGTGCCCTGCAATGGGGCTCCGTTTGGGGTTGGGCCATGACCAATGTTTTTCCCATAGGGCTCCAACCATATTCCTCAGGTTCGGTGGTTAGACCCCCCTAGCACCCACCCCTGGCCCTAGGGTTATTTCCGGTGAGACGCTTGCGTCGTCAGGTGTCATCATCCCAAACGGGAGACGACGGGAGAGGAAGAAGCTTTTTGAGCACTCCAAGTCCCATGTGTGAGTGTTTCTTTGGCTCCCAACACACGGCCGGAATCCGTGGTTTCAAAAAGACCTCGTCAACTGGTAGGAGACGACTCCCAAGAGACGACGACTCGAAGTAGACGACCAAGTCGGTCCAAAGATGTCGTACACTCCTGATTTCCCCAGCTCTTCAGGTCTGAGGTGTTGGAACCTCCCATGGAACCTCCACATGGCAACCACCCTCGTCTTCCGCACCTCGTCTTTGCTCAGATCCGCTGGCCGCAGATCTGACCGGCGACCGCTTGGGAGGGGTGTGAGACACGCGTGGTTCGGTCGACACGTCGAACCCCGGTGTAGCTCCCCCCCCAACGACTTCTCAGAGCGACAGGGACATAGTGTACAACCAGGTCGACCGAACCGTGGAACCACATGGACCAGACTGGTTTCGACGAGTTCAAAACAAGCGTGGTCTTTCCATGTGGGTCGAGTCTCGAAACCAGGGCAAAAGCCTTTCAAGCCTGACCATCCAAACGGGGCGTTATGAAATGTTATGAATCTATAGAGTCGACCTTACTTGCTTTTTAACGACCCCTTCTAAGATCCTTCCAGTTCGATCCGAACGGAGGCCCTGCGCTTCCGGAGGCTGAAGCGGCACGGAGGCTTGCTCTCCGATGGATGAAGCGGCACGGTGTTCACTGTGAGGGTGTCCACTCACAGGCGGATCCAACCGACCCAATCCTGCAACCCTTTCATGTAGAACCTGGACCCCTTGAACAAGGGTAGCAACCGACCATGTCTGGAGGGTCAAACTGTGTTCGTCGATTTTCGGTTGGTCTTCCCAAACGTGTCGTGATATGACCTTCCAAGTAGATAGAATCCTTGAATGTCTAAAAAGTGAATTGAAAGTACATCAAAAAACATAGCTCAAAGCTCCCAAAGTAGCTTCATAGCTAAGTGATCGATCACGAGATCATCTCAAGATGGTTTTCCGCTGTTTGCAAGTCCCTGTTGGAAGGTTTTGAAGTCACTAGAGATGGGTAATTGTGATATAACTGTATAACGGTATAACTAACAACACCAATATCTTGGTTGAGAGGATCACAGCAAGACACTTGATACGGACTTTGTTACTGCAAATCCTTCTTGACACACACACAAAAAGAAAAAACAATATAATATACTAGCACCTTCAAAGGGGTCACCTGGCTGGAAGCCCCTACACCACTAAGGGACCTCCAGACAGGACACGCCTTGTAGGTCCAGGTAGAGCCATCTCTCGTACTGCACCGTGCCAAATACAGATCTATAGCAGCGTATTGCCCTAACAGTGCCTGTCAAACCGCTTTCAAGCTTGAATCTCAGACTGTTGGATTTTAGATCTACCCCAAACACGACTAATGAGACTGGCATAGTTACCCACATTTGGGGGGTTGGTCTCAGGGGCCAGTGATGGTCAGTGTTATAAGTCACAAGCATATAATAATTCATTCATGGAGTGTCTGGGTACCTCTTCTACTTCGAAAAACATTTTAAAAAAACAAACAGAGTGCTGAAAGCGCCTGGGACCAACAAGCCGACTGGAGAATGGGCGGCCTGGGATTTGGGTGATCGGGGATGACAGGGGTCTCCGGCCCGAGGCCCTTGTCATTGCTTCAGGCCCGGAGTCTTTTGAACACAGCTCACCTGAATTGTCTAAGTTTACCAAGGGGGACTCAGTGATGCGAGTGCGGAGGCCCACGGATTTTTTTTTAAACACCTTGAACACTGACTGGATTTGCACTCTCTCGGGAACAGGACGCATGACGAAACATGCACGCCGCCCATCGGGAGGCCAATATGCCCATCTGAGATGTTTGGTCCTGTTCTTCGTGGTGACGGAAACTGTCTGGGAAGTGCTTCCATGATCTACGTAAGATCCACTTAGTCTTTGCTTTGAGAAGCACAGTGTTGAACACATGTACCATCGTCAAAGCTCCTTCAGCACTGGGAGCACGGTATACTCGTACCACAGCCAAGGTTTGGGTTCAATAAAGAAACTGCAGGCAATTACGTAGGTTGATTTTACTATCCCCTTCTTCAGCAACTTAGACCACGGCAAAGATGAACTTGTCCAAGAAATGTCTCATGGACCATCTCCAATTCGGGATGGGGGGAAGTACGTAGTGACGGTGAGCTCTTCAGCTCATTCCAGCAAACATCCAGACGTGGAAAAGGCCAGAGACTTGTCTTCCAAATTGCCATCTTCCCCGGAAATGTCCAGATCTCCTTACATCAACTGTCGTAGAAGAGCCATGAGTCACAGCCATTCATGACGATCCTGGAGTAGGATCCAGAACATGTCGAATGCCCAAACTAACATGCACATGAAGACAGATTAGACATTCTGGATGAACTATGATACACAGATCAGCCACGTTCAGAAGGGTAGCCTTGCTACTGCTGATGGAAAACATCCTGCACATTCCTGCACCACCAAGTTAACCCAACAGTAAAAACTCCTCAATTACACCCTAGGGATCGACGTCCCTTCTCAGAAGGTGATTGGAGACTATTTATGTAGGTTTGGAGGGTCCAGGTCGTACCTTCTGAGAAGGTACGACTGGATTCCTAGGGTACATGTCATGTGCATGTGTATGCTCTCCGGTGACGACCTGCCGAGCATGTCAGGTGACCTCTGTCCACCTTCGATGGCATGACTTTCCCCATATGATGTTCCTTCTATCGGGTGCCATGGGATACCATGGGATGCCATGGATTGAGGACCAGGTAGCCACTGGTGGCCCATACTGGTGACCCCTTGCAGTCGCTCTTCGGGTGGTCTATGGGTCGCCACTCCTTCCTCCCAAAGCGTCCACGCCTCTGGCACCACAGGTCCTGCAACGACCCGTGGCCCGAGTCCGAAGATTGTGGGGAGACGAGTCCGAAACTTCCCAAAACCGTCTTCAAACATATATGACGATGGATTTGAGAGATGAAGGTGGTTTGGAATCTACCCGCCATCTGCAAACATCTGAAGATATGAACAGTAGCCGGCTCGAGTAGTGCTGCCCCTCTAAATTCCTTTTGTTTTAAGGAGATTCGATGTTCGGAGTGTCTGTCTGTTGATGCTCTCCGAAACAGGGCTGCCAGTGAGTGACCCCGCTCCGAACTGGGTTTTTGAGCGAAACTCATGGGTTCTGTTGGAGGGTTCTCCCTCCTTTGCGGGCTGATCTTGGTGCCTTTAGCTTGGGAGTAACCCTGCGAAGACTTGTCCAGCTGTTGACATTTTGGGATACCCATGTTTCAGCCTTACCTCCAGTTAAGCAAATCAGGTTCAGAATCTATACAAATCTGCTTGAAAGGCCACAAGTCATCGAACAAGCAACAGCAAATAAACATCCGTGGAGCACGGCCTGTACTAGCCTCAAAAAAAGGCATATCCCATTTTTCCTCTCCCAGACGAAGGGGATTGGAATAGCCACCACCACCATGAATGGATCATGTTCATGGGGTTGTAGTGGATTGAGAGTACGTAGACGGCACAATCCCCAAAAGGTGGTTTATATGGACCCCCATCCCAAGACATGTATATATATATTATATAATATAGGGGTTTGCGCCATCGAACCTCTGAAACCACTGTGGTGATGCATGTAACTCTTCCAGGCCGTGGTTTTTGGGCCGATCGACCCGACGGTGAGGAGCAATAAGGAACGACGGGAAGAGGAACGATGGACGTAGGATCTCAAAGATCCCGCCATTGTCCCTCAATTGTCCCCCAAAACTGATCAACATGATTCAACATGTCCAACTTCGAATCAAGTGTCCATCATCCTGCTTTCCAATGCTGGACAAACTCTTCTCTCCAGTTTTAGGCGCTGCAGCTGAGGCACGTGGGAAAATCAAATTCACTGACTCCAGCCGATCCCGTCTTCGTTTATTGAGCGGACATTCGGAACCCTTGTAAAACGACTCTGGCCTATCACCACACGGTTCGTTTCATGAAGAAATCACCCAAAAACACGGCCAGACTCATCATCCCTAGGGATCCAGTCGTAGCTTCTCAGAAGGGTGTTTGCGTGCCTGAGAAGGTACGACTGGATCCCTAGGACATGACTCATCACTCATCGGTTCCGGTCCCACCAGGAGTCATGACACGGTGCCATTGTCGGGTCCAATCGTACCGAACCTGAGGTTCGGTACGACTGGATCCCTATAGGGCCCTAGGGCCTTAGGGGTTTCAATTGGATTGGAAGATATTGGAAGATTGAAGCGGTGCTCCTGGGGACGTACAGTTTCTGTCGGAATATGCCATAAAACATCAAAGAGTTTCACGGCTTAATTGACCTCAAGTCAACCACCCCAACCAAATCGATCACTCGGAGTCATCTAGCCAATACCAGGCTGTCAATGCCACTCTCGCCCTCGACCGAAGTCGATGCCTGTGGGTTCTACGTCCGTCTCCGGCTCATCGCATCGCTCTGGTCGGTCTGGCGGGGCCTGGACATTGCGATGGTCAGATCTCCAAAGCGAAGGAGTTGCGCCCAATGGGTCAGAAAATGAAGGAACATCCTACAAATGTGCACAATGTAATAAGTATTCCATACCAGTTCCATTCGTCAGGTCTGGGAGTCTGGGAATCATTAAAAAACAGAAAAAACCTGGCCCTTGAAATGGTCATTCATATCCCATCTCCCCATGAAGGACAGTGCGACTTCTGCCTCTGACGCCTCATTGACCAACGGCCTCCCGGTCAACCCCGACGCGGCCGCAGCGGTGATCGACCTCCTCCGTTGAGCCCGGCAAGGCTTCGGCCGGGTTCCTGGCACCGGTCGCTTCGCTCCGGCCAGAGAGGCGGTGGCGCTGGCCCCCACTGCGCCGCGGCGACCCGGAACCGTTCGTAGTTCGGACCAAGGTGGTTTATTGTAACATCGTAACATTGACATATTCTAAGTGATTTTTTGAGGGTACCATGTCACTCATGTCCCAGTTTTGGTGTACTTGTCCAACTAACATCACCTAACAGAGCTGGACAAACACGCCGTTCGTGATCTCTTTGGCTTTGGAGACTCATCCGGTGACCCGTTCACAAGCCTTCAAGTGACCTCAATCAGAAAAACTCAAGGACGGTCATTCGGACCTGGTCGAAGTCGAGGGACTGGTCGCCCCGAGCTCGACTTGGGACGGCACCGGCAAAGGTTGCAATGGTTGCAAACCACGCAGTCAACAAATACAAAAAGCTATAACAAAAGTTTGGTCAAAAACAATGCTAAGAAAATAGGCAATCCGAACTGTTCAAAGGTCTTAAAGGTCAAAAGGTCAAAGGTCAAAAGTTCCTGCTGAAAGGTAAAAGGTCCGGTCAAAAAAAAGAGTTGTCAAAGGTCTAAAGTTCCTGCTCCTTCTTAGAAGGGAGACTTGCGCCCGCACATGCGCAGGCGTGCTGCGCAAACGCGAAGGGGTGTCACCTCCATCCGTACTTCTGCAGCTCTGCAACTCTGCAGGCTGCCTTTTTCTTAGCGAACATCGAAAATGAAGTGCTCTTGAAGGAAAAGGATTGGATCCCAAATGGTCGCATGGCGAATTCTTTGGCCATACTACTAGTCTGAGTCATCATCAGGAGACCTTGTACTGCACCACGTAGCAAGGGTAGGCTTGCTCGCGGTCGAAGATTGCAAACTCCTGGTGAAATTGAGACTGATTGTGATGTCCTCTGCAGGGCCAAATTCAAGCATGCTTCACCAACCAACCGTGGAGAGTGCTTAAAACGAAGAAACAATTGTATTGAGGTGTATGGCATACAAAAAAAAAGGAAAGAAGGAAGATTAACAGGAAGGAACCAAAGAAAGGTGTACATGAACAAACAAACAAACAAACAAACAAACAAGCCAACAAACAAACAAACAAACAGACAAACAGACAAACAGAAAAACAGACAAACAAACAAACAAACAGACAAACAGACAAACAAACAAACAAACAGACAAACAGACAAACAGACAAACAAACAAACAGAAAAACAAACAAACAAACAAACAGACAAACAAACAAACAAACAAGCAAACACACAGACACACAGACACACAAACAAACAAACAAACAAACAGACAAACAAACAAACAAGCCAACAAACAACCAAACAAGCCAACAAACAAACAAACAAGCCAACAAACAAGCAAACAAGCCAACAAGCCAACAAACAAAAAAAAAACAAACAAACAAACCAACCAACCAACAAACAAACAAACAAACAAGCCAAAAAACAAACAAACAAGCCAAACAAACAAACAAACAATCAAACAAACAAACAAAGACACAAACAAAACAAACAAACAAACAAGCAAACAAACAAGCCAACAAGCCAACAAACAAACAAACAAACAAACAAACAAACAAACAAGCCAACAAACAAACAAAAAAACAAGCCAACAAACAAACAACACAACACAACACAACACAAAACAAATGATGAAGTTCCGGCGCCGGCAAAGGCCTGATAAGACATGGATCCGCCTACCTGGGTCTCAGAACCCACATGCTTGCCGTCCTACTGCTGAGGGGTACAGTGATTCAATCCCAAATGTCCACGACCATCTTCGACGCGAACCGTTCAACATGCATCAGTATACGTGATACCTCATGTTTGCCTTCCATCATTCCACATGTTTGGTTCGAACGATTGCAGTGGAACCGAAAACAAACACGTTTTCTGAAGAGAACCATGAAGTGCACCCTTTTCATGGTTGTTGGTGGCCCTGCTTGCGAGGTAGATGGAACCCCCAAAGGTCATGCTGAACCCCTAGTCGTGGAAAACAAAAAAACATGGTAAAACTAAAACATGTTGCATCACACTCTGGTGGACACCGAGCCTAGTTTTCGAGTTGTATTTAAATGTGCTTATCAGTGGCCTTTCTTGTGCGAGGCATGCTGATAGCGGTCCTTGGACTTGCCCAGGATGTACTACAATGGAACCGAAGGTTCCCTTCCCGCCCAGCCGCTCTGGAGGTCGACGATCATTGTACCTGACGGAAAATATGTCTGCCACCATGAAGGTCTCGTGATACAAGTGAAAACGCCAGAGCCAATACAAACGCAATCAGCTCCCAGTTTGTTCAAGCCAGTCTCAAAAAGACTACAACATCTAAATCCACTTTGAACCCTACACGGAGGAAAATATGCAACAAATTCCACTTTGGACTCTATAATTACGACGGATATATGCTAGAAAGTCTAAAATCTGCCTTGGACAAGTACAGGTGTGAGATCTGTCTGTGTGCAGTAACACGGCAAGGGAGTCTGTTCAAAACTATTCTAAACTGTTTCGGACAGCGTCTAAACAGGTTTTGCCCAGACCCCGGGCTCTGAAGTCAAGGAAAACCAGCAGGCAAATCATTCACTGCATATTGAAATTGAAAAGAAAGTGTGTGTGTGTGTGCATATACAGTATATATATATATATACACACTTAGTTCACATAAGTATATATATTATATATGTGTACCTTCGCCCACCAGACCCGAGAAGGGCTTGCAAGGACGTGACTATAAATGCACCAGACAAATTGACATTTCCGAGGAACACTAAAGGCCTCAGTCCGTGTGAGAACACACAGGTTGTCAGGGTTGGCCATCACGGTTTCAAACACGAGCATTGTTTCCGGACTCAGGCCCAGGGTTTCGATTGCTACAGCATGGATTGTCACGGGTAAATCATGTGTCCAGGACAGGCTTGGTCTTTTAGAACAATTTGACATTATTTTGTCTACTGATGTTGAATGGCCTTGATAAGAGTTCGATCACAGCTCTTGGATATACTCTGTTAGGTTTTGTTTGGGAAACCTGGGGGTTGCAAGCAAGCCCGACAACAAGTAAGGGTTTAGTTGTCCGTATATATATATATATATACAATTTTTGTAAATTAATATAGTATATCTAAAATCTACATGCGTACATATCTGCCGACCCCGGCCTAGCCTGACCTAAGCCGGTGGCGGCTGGGACAGCGCTGGGTGGAGTGCTCACCTTTGTCCAGCCACCTAAAGCTTCTTGCGAAAATGCCGTTGCTCTCTTCCCAGCCGCTTAATTTGCGAGCAGAAGAACAACATTGGCTAAGGGCGTGGTGGAGGGAGCTTACCATGCCTCGAGCTCTGGGCTTGCAAACCTTCTTTTGCGATCCTTTCCGGCCGCATTTGCACGCAAAACAATATGGGCAAAGGGCGTGAACAGAGGGACCCATTCCGGGCCCTGTCACCAGGCTGGCTTTTGGCAAAACTTTTTGAGCTTGATCCATGCCCCTTTGACCATCCACTGAACTCCAGACTGGACTTGACCAGAGTGTTCCGTTCTTTGTGGCCTAAAAATTGAGGTCAGCGGCACCTGGGCGTTAGCCCAGTCTCTAGTATCTATATAAGTTAGCCTCAAAAGCAGAACAAGTTTGAGGGGACCTTTTCAGGACAGCAAACACGTCAGGGATTGCATCCATGCCTGGCCTGGTTTCAGTCACAACGCAGGCATCACCAAGCACCACGCGAGCAATGATGAGCGTCCTGGCCCCCTTGCATGTGCAGGACTTGGAGTGGTGCCTGCACAAAGAGGCATCTAATTTTGACTGCAGGGAGACACAAACACGGAATCCAGCCGAGACCTTCATCCTGTAAGTGCACTTGCCACGCAAGTTCGCAGGAAAAGAACCTACAACAATATGGCGTCTCAGCCTCGTGTTTTGAAACCATCTCTCACGAAAGGGTTTGTGCGCACATCGTTGTTGCGCTGCAAAACTCTAACTAGGATAGCCCCCACAATGGTAAACAGAAAAACGCCAAACAAATGCAGCGAAACGGGCCCATTCCGTGCTTCAAAAGGGCCCCCTTGTTTTTAATTCTGAATATCGACCAGGAATCTTACCCTCCAATTCCATATGTGATCCTGTGAGTCTGTCTGATGGCCGTGATGTTAATTTGTCCACAACGGCCGAAAGGATACAAAGGAGGCCTGGGATGCAACCGCGAGAAGAAGAAGAAGAAGAAGGTGCTCAAAAAGCTGAAGCAAGAACCCTTGTGTTTTCAATGTGAAGAGCCAGGACCGAAGAAAAACTCGGAAAGGCACTTGACATGACTCAAACTTTCTGCCCTGCCTGCAAGTGTATTGGTGGCTCTTGCAAGCTTCTGATCCAAAGTAGACCCCCTTGCCATACATTCCACGATTGCATATGCGAGGGTCGAAACCTGTGGCGAGGATGGCATCTGCCTTGTGCCCTGTGGTGCCATGAAACAAGACCTTCTCATCCACGTCGGTGGCAAGGGCCTCCCCACAATTGAACATGTCTTGCTCATTCACCATGAGATTTCCTGGCAGAACTGAACTAAAATTCAAAACAGGAATACATTAAGATACATTGAGGAATATACAGAACCAACTCGAGAAAGGGGAAAAGTTGGAAGGGCATGTGGCATGGTCGGTGTGATGTCTCAATAGTGGTTGTCGTGGAGGGGGCTTCGTGAAAATGTTGCGGTGTAAACGCTGCTTTGTGTAGAAGCTCTGGTGTGTATACGGTGGGGTGTGCAAGAAGGGCCCTTGTGCTGCGTCTGCTTTGCGTAGAAGCTACGGAGTGTTAACTTGCTGCTTTGTGCAGAAATATGTAAAAAACCATGGTGTCTCAACGCAGGGCCGCAGGGCAGTGTAACAGCAGTTGTGAACTGCCTAGTGCCAGAAGTGTGCTGTACAAAGGTGTGCACCAAATCAGAGTGGCCGGAGTCGCAAGGAGAGGCTGGTACAGCATGGCAGCCGAGAGTCTGACACGCGTGGAGTCTTGTGAACGCCGCTTTGCGTTGCATCAAAGCTGGTTTGTGTAAAGCTATGGTGTGTGAACGCTGGTTTGCGTGAAAGCCATCGGGTGTAAACACTGGTGTGATCTGGTGAAGAGCTGTGGTGAGTAAGAACTGCTTTGTCCCAAAGCTGCACGTACTGTGTAACACCGTAGAAGTGCATCCATTGCGTAAGCGCTGAGCATGAGTCACGCTACAGCGGTCCTGGTGGTGCTGGGGAGGGGGGGCTATGATATACTTCATGATACTTCACTATTTGGTCCCGAACAGGCTGTTCAAGTTACCCCTTTTGCTTCGCACAGCAAACGTGACTTTAGGGGCAAGGACCAAAGCCACAAAGAGAGACAAAGAAACTTTCAATTCATCACCTTCAAGTGTCTGCCGCCATGGGAATTGAGCGTCACAGGCGCCACCGACACATTGAAGCTCTTGTGTTCCTGCCGAAGGGCTGCAAGCCGTGTCTTGTAACCATGCCATAGTCGCCCGTGCTCTATGCGGTGCATTGAGATCACCTGGCACGAAAAACGCGCTCAAGGGACGCGCTGTATTTGGGGAAAACGGTGTGTTAAAAATATATAGACATGGAGAGCTTCATTCCGAAAAAAATCCGCCTTGGCGTTCCGAATGCAATTGCACGCTTGCGCATGTGCGGTCGACCGAAGGATTTCTTGCATCTTCAGAAGGATGTTCTCATCGTCAACTGCAACTTTGAATGACTCAACATGCTCACTTTGCTGCAGCAGCGAGGCTGCAGTGGTAATCCACTGCGGGGGCACCAGCGGCAAGATGCGAATCTGACGCACCATGCCGGTGTCCGAACGACGTTGCTCCATTCTCTCAAAGTCAACCTTGCGAGCAATGCCAGCTGACTGGATGGTTGCGAAGCGGGCTGTGGAGTCTCCAAGATAGGCCGTGTACGCCTGGAGCATCTGATGGTTTCCTTCAGGAGGAAGGGACAACCAAGCACCGTGCTCTTCATATTGACACGTTACACCACAGCCACCCACATGTGATGGAACGCACTCTTGCAACTGTGCCTTCAACTCCTCCTTCTCCTTCAAGGCGGCAGTCAGCTGTGCTTGCAACTGGGACACTGACTTCTCCTTCTTCGAACTGGCTTGTACCTCGGACGCTAACTCCTCCTGCTCCTTTAAAGCGGCTGCCAACCGTGTTTGTAAATCGGACACTAACTTCTCTCTCTCCAAATCATAGGTAATCCGCGTCTTCCTGATTTCCAACTCCTCGTGCAAGATGGCCTCCACGGCGTCCTTCTGTTTCAAGGTTCTGTTCAACTGCTGCTGTATCTCGGCCTTCTCCTCCTCGTTCTCTTTCAAGGTAGCAGTCAACCGTTCTTGCAGCTCCGCCTTCAGATTCTCCTTCTCCTTCAAGGTCGTTGTTAACTGCTCTTGCAGCTCGGATGTCGCCCTCTCCATCTCTTTCAAGGTCGCCGTCAACCGCGCCTGCAAGTTGGCCGTGGCATCATCCTTCTCCTTCAAAGTTGTTGTCAAACGTGCTTCTAAGTCGGCCACAACCTTCTCCTTCTTCAAATCAGAGGAAACCAAAACTTGTATCTCGGACGCTAACTCCACCTGCACCTCCAAAGTCTCTTGTAAGGTGGCCCCTAACTTCTCCTTCTCCTTCAAGGTCGCTGTCAACTGCTCCTGCAATTTGATATTCATGTCCTCCTTCTCTTGCAAAATAGCAGTCAAGCGCTCTTGCACTTCGGCCTTCAACTTCTCCTGCTCCTGCAATTTGGTCTTCATGTCCTCCTTCTCTTGCAAAAGAGCAGTCAAGCTCTCTTGCGTTTCGGCCTTCAACTTCTCCGATACCTTCTGCCAGCCTTGTGCTTTGCAGTGCGCAAGGGCCAGTTCCTGTGTCTTTTGGTCGAGCTGCTTCTCCAGAAAAAACCAGCTGTGGCTCCCCCCGAGCCTGCCTTGCTTGCTCTCTCACAGCGATGAGGCGATCCTGCTCTTGCGTCTCGAAAAAAAGGGACCAAAAGCTTGTCAAACAAAAGAGAAGAAACAGTGCCAACTTCTTTCCGCACCAAAATGATCCAAAAATCTCACACAAACAAACAAAAGATCTTCTCTTAACGTGTCCCAAGGCTCATTCCTCAGTTTCACCACCTGCACTCGCAAGTCGAACAGTTCTCGGACTGCGTTCGATCCAATGACACCGTCCTCGGACGAACGCGTCAGTGCTCGGACGAGCTCCTCGGAGTGCTCCTCTCGTCTTCTCGGACTGCGGCTTCTGGTTGTGGACTGCGACGTGGACTCCCTTGGAGGTGCTGGTTTGGGAAGCCGGGGAAAAACACATCTAGATAGGAACCTGCTTAAAGCATATTACCCACTGGGTGGGGGATTGAACCAGTTCGGGAAAATAAACAAATCACCTGAACAGCAAAACCAGGGGACTCACCTAGTTGGCCCTGAGAGGAAGGGGCGGTGGGCTCCGTGCCAATGTCATTGGACTTGGACTCAGCTGCCTTTCTGCAAGTGGACTTGGTCTCGCACTTGACCCGAGTCGCCGGCTTCAAAGAAATGTCATGTGACGTAGGGTCAGTTCTCTTGGTGCCTGACTTTCTACCACCGACCGTGGGTACACTTGACGTGGCCCCCGTCTTGTCTGACGACTTCAGCTGCAGGTCAGTGTCGGCTTCCTTGACAGCTAACTCAGCTGGTGATTCAGCCGGCTTCAACTCCCAAGGGTTCGACTCCCAAGAGTCCTCGATGTCCAAAGGGTCAGCGTCAGCTGTGTCACCTGGCTGTACCCAACTGTCCCATGTGTTGCTTGACTTGTCCCAAGAAGCCCACTTATCGTATGACTTGTCCCAGGAGTCCCAGGTGTGGCTTGACTTCTTCCAATCATCCCACGTGTTGCTTGACTTGTCCCAATCATCCCACGTCCAGTCCTTCCACCGGACGGTCTCGTCGTCAGAGTACTCGGTGTATCCACTGTACTCGCTGTCACTCTTTTCTGATCGTGGCATGTGCGACTCCGATCAGAGTACTTTGCACAAGGCAAGACAAGAACATCGAGAGGACATTCGATTGAAAAGAGCAAATGAAAAATAGTTTCTGCATGTTTCCTGCACAAAATATGAGAATTCATGTCTCTTTGACTGCAATAAGGCAGGGCCAGTTTGGTTTCAGTCGGGTCTATTTGTTGTTCTTTCGCTCTTCAAACATCCGACCTAACACTGAACTCCGCCGAGCACGAGCAGCAGAGCACGAGCCCTGAGCCCTGAGCCCTTACGCAAAGCACATGATGCAAGCAATTTCAAGCGTTCAACACAGCAAGCCTTCTGAGAGATGTCTTCCTCAAGTGGTAGGGTATAAGCTCAAAACGATGTTGTTTTGTCTCTAGAGTAAGCTCTCCAATAATCAGCGAACCTGCAAAGACCTTCAATGTGCCATGTCAAGTACGTCTGAGTCTTTCATAGATCCTTTCGCAAATGGAGGCCTGGTACGGTGAGTAGGGTGGAGGCCATCACTAGTAGGGTGGAGGCCATCTCTGCTGAGCCCGTCCTCTCGGCAGCTCCTTCCGCCTCGACCTTGGCGAGGCGGTCGACGGGCGACGTGCGGCGCGGCCGCGAACGGGAGTTCGAAGGGTGGCCAAATCCGGGCGTCCGCGAACCGGTGCTCCAACTGGCTGAAAGAAAAGGAATAACACCACGCACAGACCATGGGACATGACCCATGAACATGACCCAGTTAGACATGAACATGAACATGGTAAGTTGGACAGTTAGAAGTTAGATGCCTTTGCCCAACTGCCTCCCCATGACCAACGACCCATGTCGGACAGCTCTCGTCCGGAGTCTTTGGGTGCCGGCCGTGTGCCCATCGCACGGGAGGGACACGGGTCCAGTTGGACTTGTTGGGAAAGTCTCGACCCCATCGATCCTGAACTCCCGAGCTGAAAAAAGCCCTGGAAGTTAGACTTAAGACCACCTGTTCAGGTTCATATTAAGTGGGGAAACCACCCCCCAACCAACCCCCAATTATAACTACAGTAGCCCTAGGGCTCCAAGTACCTCCTCAGAAGGTGTTTGGACCCTCCAAACCCACCCCAGTCCCACCTTCTCGGAAGGTACTTGGAGCCCTAGGGCCCTAGGGTATAAGGCTTATAGGTTGGACCTGTATGTTCATATTGAGTGGGGAAACCAACCCCCCCCAAAAAAAGGTTTAAAGGTTGTACACTGAGTGGGTATATGAGAAAGGTGCCTACCCATGGGCTCCACAAAACATGCATGCTTCTGGCTGCAACTCAACGGCTGCACCCCAGGTTGCTAGGGAATGTGTCAAAACCTGGAGCCCCAACACCACTTGACCTTCTAGGTAGGTCAACCGACAAAGAGCCCGCCCACATCATTGGCAGGATCCCAAAGTGCTAGCCCTTCCTGCAGTTCAAAGGTCCTTGCGAGAACAATCAGACGCACTTCGTATTATAGCCCAATATCTCCAAGGCTTTTCTGATGACCCTGTAGTTCCTACTTTTTCCGGATCCTCCAGTCTGACTAAAACGGGGTGGGGTCGTACTTACACTGGCAGCTTCGCTTTGCGTCCACAACTTCCTAACTTGGCAGTTCAAAAAAACACTTCATCAGTACGTGTCTAATCTACAGTGCAAACCGCAAAACCACCCTTTCATCCGAATGGTTCCAATGAATTTTGTGTCGACGCTCATGACAGTGCCCTCCATTCCTCTATAGGCGCAATCTGCGAAAAGCCTGTTCAAAAGAAAGCGATCTTAATGCAAACCCGATTCCACCAGCACCTAATTAGATCTTCAATTCAACTTGACATCTTGGCATCTTGGCACCTTCGTAAACGGTGCGGACCTTCGGTCTCACGTTTGGCAACGGTCTTTTCCATTTTTGTATTATAGTGTTTGCATGTACAAAGGATACTTACGCAAACTCCCTGGTACCCACCCTATGGTGAAGGACCATGGGAAGCGCCGGATCTGATGCGCAAGTCTCGTCGGTAGGTCAACCGAGCCGGAACCTGATATTCATCCACATGTCTTCCGAGCATGTCTATGGGGGCAGGACTATGCCCATCTAGTCCTCAGGTTTTTCTTATCCCTAAAGTGGCCACATCCTGAAGGAGAATATGACGACGTCACCAAATCTTCGTGAACAAGCTGATGCAATTCGCATCATCATTCAATACTTGCAAGGTTTTTGCAGTACAAAACTGTACCCGAAGTTCCATAAAACAGCTTCAAGTAGTTTGGTCCAGGTCGGATGGGGACGTACATATACTGGCGGCTTCCCTCTCAGACCACAGTTCATTAATACTCAGATGATACTCAGAAGACGTTGCAAAAATATGCCACAAATTTGGGAATTAAACCACCGTTTCATCCGCTTGGTCTCGTTCCGATGGACTTGTGCCATGTTCGCATTACTGTGCCCCCTATGGAAAACTTAGATTATTCCCAATGCTATCACTTTAGGAAGAAGCTTCGTGAAGTGTGGAATCGGGGTGGCAATCTGGACGACCTTGTTCCGCCCGTTCCACGTAATTAGATGCTTTAATTTGTTGTCGCAGTTCGTCTTCAAAGCCATCTTGTACCGCGCGGAAATTCGGTTTCACGTAGTTAGGGTCTTTTGATGGTGCGGCAACTTGGTGCAGGTGCCAATTTGTATATTTGGTGTGTGGGTACAACACCTATGCACGTGGGCAATTTCACATACTCCCAGGTACCCATCAATTGATCAAGGGCCTTTGGGAAGCGCTTTGGATCGTTGCGCAAGTTTCGTCGGTAGGTCAACCGAGATATCCTGACCTGGTTTTGACCCACTGCCATGTATCCCACCTACTGACATGGCTTTGCAGCATTTTCCCTGGGGCCCTGGGGTTTTGGGGAGATCAGCTGAGTCTGCTGCCGCTTTGGCCTCAGCAGTCTCCGGAGGCTTCCTGAGAGAGCTTTTCGTTCGAGCTGAAGTGGGAGCGATCTGCCCCCGAAAAACCGCCCGTGTTCGTTCGCCCCCGCTCCCGGGTCGAACCAATCGGGATTGGTGAGAAACCCCCCCCGCTGGTCCGACCCCAGAAACACCAAGGAGTCGGGGGCCGGTCTACCCGTAGGTGTCGAAGATTCGGGTCCAGCTCTCGGCCAATCGGGTGAGCTTTATCGTTCTCCCCACAGTTCTGCCAGGTGTGGCTGGTCTAAACAGCTTGGACTGGAGTTTCGGTTGGTACCTTCCAAAACTGGCAACAGTATCCAGTACCTGCTTTGGACATCATGTTCCTTGTTATTTCTCTTTGGGAACCTCCAAACAGCACCAGCATAAGCCTGCATATGCCCTTGTTGAAGCCGTATCTCACTTGGCACAACCTTGCAGTACGGATCCACGGTTCTTTATCAAAGCAAGGTGTGATGTGCAGGGTGGGTTAGGAAGGTCAAAGTATACCTTCCAGTAAACGACATAGAAACTGCCTGAGGCCATCAGGAACATGTTTTTTTCCATTTCATCTGTGGGCATGGTCTGACTGGTAATTCTGTGAAAGGTTTCTGGTGAAAGGATGGACACCGATGCCCTTCACTCCGCCACGACCTCGCCCTCCCCCGACCAGCCAGTCCGGTCAACGATCGGTCCGAACGGGGTGAACTGATGTGAAGATCAACGAGGCCCAGTGAACTGATGTGACCCGGGAAGAGACCCCAAACAGTGTGTGTGTGTGTGTGAGGTCTATAGGCAGAAAGTGTAGAGATCTAGACGCGTTGTGTCCACACTGTTTGGGGAAGAAAGAAACACGTAGCACTTCCAAGGGGTGCCCTGTCTGGAGACCTGTAAGTAGGGTAGGGTAGTCTAGCCAGGACACCCAGACAGGATGATCCTGGCACACAATCTCCTCGAGATATCCCAACCGAAAACCACCCTGGCACCTGTTTTCGTTTTTTCCCAAGTCGTCTGGACGAAAGAGAAAGTTGCTTCTTGAGTGCCCAACACTGAAAGTGTTCCGGGGTGGATTGTGTTCCGTCCGCGCTCCACAGAAGTTCGCCCGAGGCACTTCTTCTTGCGCCGCTGGCCACAACGCGAGAAGACCTGGATCGCAAGATGTGTCTCACGCAGCGACTGCCCACATTCAGCGGGATCGGAAGGCGTGTTGTGCATTAGTTTGATGACATATGGAATTTGGGTAGTTTGCTAAAGAAGATCAAAGAATGGTCGGTTTATGGGTTCTAAATGTCGCCCAAAGCTCCAGGGGCGGGCGGTTGCAAGTCGTAGGACACTCGTGAACGGTTCTTTTGCATCTATTCAATATTCTGAAGAAGAAAAACAAAAAACAAAACACTTGTTGCTTCACCACGACCCGGCAATAGTAAAAGAACCATCAAAAGGTGCCACGGACTCCTCGGGAACTGCACCGAGCCCCTTTTCCACCGTACTAGGAGGATGGGATTGGTCCTGCCTACGGCGAGAATCACTTCGGATCTGAACATCGACGGTGTGCCGAACATCGGGTTGGCTGTGCGGAGGCTGTGCGGTTGGCTGTTCGACATGAGCGCGACTCATGTAAAAAGACCTGGCTCTGACCTTCGTGCCAGAGCCGGTCTATGCCGGGTAGCCTTCGTCATGTAGAAAAGAAAAGAAATTACAACGATGACACATCCTGAAACCTCTTCCACTCGACTTCCACTTTTACTGTAGCGGGACCTTCCGAGCATCTCTTTTAGGATGCCTTTGATCCATTGGATCTATCTCACACTTGCTACAGTATGTCGGGCGATTTCCTGCAAATCCGATTGGTCCGGTGTGGGTCCAGAGAAGTCGGTGACTGGAAGTGGCCCAGGTGACTGAAGTCCATGACTGGCTGAAGGCTAAAGTCTATGATCAGTACATTGATGAACCGATCAATTCTTAGTGAAAGCCGGTGGTATACCTCCTTCAACAAGGTATAAGCTTCTTGATGTTTGGTTTCCCTCCCACAATAGATCGCAAGAATCTGTGGAAAAAATACCGACGACTCGAGCTCTTGGATCATCTTGGATCTCTCGCATTCGGCAAAAAAACCGGTTGAACCATCCCAGACCATCTATTCCGGACCTATAGAAGAGGTGCACATTCCATGACCCGAATGCAAACCGGCCACCACCTCCCAGTCTGGATGCCTGGAACATCCATGCAGGTTTTGGATGAAACGATCTTGTTGCCCAGAAAGGCTCACTTAAGGGCAGTTCTCTCGGGCATGTTTATATAACAGTTACTCAGTTACTCAGTTCCTCGTGAAATGGGGGGGAATCTGGAATCACGGGAATCACCGACAAAGGAGTTGCTCATCGACTACCCGGGCAGCCAAGAATCCAAAAAAAAAGTCGACAGTGCCCTCCATTTGGAGAGAGATATATATAGTGGATTGAGAGTAGATGGCACAGACCCCAATGTCGGTGGTGAAAAAATGGACCCCCATCTAAAGGACATCTTGGGGTCTGTGCCATCTACTCTGAAACCACTGTAGGAGGAAATCTGGACAACCCCATCATCCAACCCCCCCCGCCGGACCCACTGCTTCCGCCCAGGCACGATCCAGTCCTCAGAAACGACCGACAGAAACGAAGGCACCGAGCCGAGTTGGTTCGGAGCTCCGTTCGGAGTCTGTGAAAGACCATCCGAAGTTGGCTGTTGTATAGTCCTCCTATGTTGAGGCTATGAGACTATGACGTTGCTACAAGCTTATAGATCTTATAGTCCTACAAATGTCTATACAATCCTTAGTGAAACGCTGTCTATATAATTCGACAAAAACACCGACCAGTACGTATACGTCACCTGGAGACGCGAACAAGGCGAGTCCAGACGATAGCTTGGTGAAAGGGATATATGAAGTGTATGGGAACGGTTTTTGGAATCCTCTACCTGGACCCTCACTGCCAGGTCACCAATTGAGATCTCACTGCCGCCCACCCAACCCCCTACTTTAGGAGACCTGGCAGTGAGGGTCCAGGCACCGGGAAACCAGCTGACCCTGTCTCACCGACCCATCAGGTCAAGGCAGGGCGACCCTTCCAAAATTCCCCCTGGCAGAAAAGGCTGAGCGGGGTCGAGCTCAGGATCCCCACTAGGATCCCTCTATTCCGAGTCAATTCAGAATTGCCCAACTGGAAGATCATGGAATTCTTATTCCAAGACCCTGGCTCACTGCGTCTTCAGGTCTTCGACTTGGGGTCAGGGCCCGGCCCTCAGGTCCCGTCACGTCGCACCGCACCTCCCGTGGCGGGCCGCACTGCTCCCGGGCTCCCGGACCATCCAATTCGGCAAGCCCTTGAAGCGCCGACCTGGGCCAGAGTCCTGGCGGCGCCGTTCGCGCGATTTGAGCGCCGAAAGGCAGAGTGAACGAATTTGGCGAGACGAGAAACGCGAGAAAGTCGGAGCGGCAAAAGGGAGGATGAGTCGGATGAGGAGGTGTAGACCTGGATCTGCCTATGCCGGTCTGCCAACTATGGCCCTCACATGTGTCATACTAGTGTATGTGTTCCAGAAAAGTAAGAACCGCACACTGACACAAGCCTGCTGCGCTCTGGAAGCTGCATCTTGTGGCCCATCAGCAAATCCAATCGCACCATACACTCGCACTGTTTGGGTCAGCAAGACCAACCCTGACTCGGCATTCTCGTTTGAAAACAAAGGCTTCACCCCATCTGATCAAATGGGTCGGAGAGCCAAGAAAACCATGCACACGTCACCATGCAGTGCTTGTTGAGAAGCCCTTGGACTAAAAACATACACAAAAACATATCAAGAAGAACCCCTGACTGAGTCCACTCCTGCTTATGCTTCCCCTCACGCACCCAGTGGCCTCACGCTTGTTGGTGATATACTCATAAGTGGTGAGATTCTGATGCCTCAGACCATGCGAGGCGCCCCGGTCACCATTGGTTGGGGAGCTCCAAAGTAGCTCAAATCACCAGGTCCATGAGCTCGAGACACTCCATATATGGACCCCGCCCAAACGCCACAGGTATATATTGTGTTGAACCGATTATGACTCGGCCCACATGTCTAACACTGTTGCACCATCAAAAACACGCGAACAGAATCGTCTTTAGCACTGTAGTCTGTATCAAAACCCGAGAACAGGATCGTCTATTCGCGCTAAATCGTGTCTTTTTGGAACCAGGGGTCCTCAACCTGAAAACATGTCCTCAGTCGCCTAAACACTCCGTTTGAGGTGGTCGATGGGCACTTCAGTAGCCACCAATTGGCACCCCTGAAGCCGCCTGATGGCAGGGTGTCCTGGCAATGAGTTCCCCAGCAAGTGGTCATTCGAAGCCGATGTGGTGGATCCTTGATCTCACCCCATACCCCAACATACCCAGACATCCCCAGGCATCCCCAGAGGCCCTCGCACTAAATAGGTGTGCAGAAGCACCTGAAGCGGGCCGATGTCCAAGGCGTTTCCTTTCGAAATCTCCCGCGATCCTCGGGGATCCTCGTCTCAGCGTCGCTCTAGTCGCGGCCCTTGGGGTGTCGGTGACTTCGCTTGAAAGAAACAAGAACGGCTGGATGTGTTGGGTTGAAACAGGGAAGACCAGTCGTGCTATCCAAAAAACCTAAGGGAAGGAAGACTTGAATCATCCAATGATTCCAATGACAATCTGGCTAGTAGATTCATCTTTATAGATTGCATGTATTAAAAAGGTACAACCTGGGACTTCAAACGACCAAAAAATGATGGTTTTGGTTATTGACCCGGTTTTCCGCGCAAACGTCCGCAAATCAGCACAACCGAAAAAACGACCGCAAATTAGCGCAAAACATCGCAAAACGGGTGCAAATAACCACCAAACGACCACAAAAATCCGCAAAATAGCGCAAGACGAACAAAACGGCCAAAACAACCATAATTTTTTGGTAGTTGGAACGTCCAGGAAGAAAGCTCACATATATATAAGCCAGCACCACCCAAAGGGTGGTTCTTGGATGGAAGATACATCTTCAGGGAAGGTCTATAAACCACCCAACCTGGGTGGTGCTGCAGGAGGTGGACCAGGTCCAGTAGTCCATTCTGCTCGTGTTCTGGACATTTCACACCTCCAGACCCCGCACGGAACCGAAACGCAGCACGTCGTTTTTTCTTCGTGGCACCAGCTGCATGTCCAAGACCCACAATGGCACGTTCACCACCGAGAGCGCGATGAGGATCCTCAGGAGCAAAAGCAGGGAAATCACATGGGCACCAGGTACCCACCCTGTTTCAGCTGGGGGGTCAGGAGGCCTTTGAAGAATCTGAACAACCAAGCGGGTGGGACCCACGATCTCTTGCAGACCCGCGATCGGACGAATGAGATTGATGGATGACCCAGCACTATCACTGCAGGCCAAATGGTCCACAATGGCCAGAGGGTCTTGGGGTCTTGGTGCGGTGGTGCCTCCAATCGAGAAACCAAGCTCTTTCCCTGACAAACTGGGCGCCCGTGATCTTACAAGACCGCCAGACCGCTAGGGAGGGACATCGATCCAGAGTCAATAGCCCCAGAGCTTGCTTGACCATACGGTCGCTGGGTCGCTGGGTCAGCTGGGTCGCTGGATGCCAGGTGACCATGTTTGAACCGATGAGAATGATTGGTCCGAGTCTTTTCCAAACATGATTACAAAGTCTTGCCAACGAGTATGGAGAATTCAAGTGAATCTCAAGGAGCTAACAACTAACCACAGCAATGAGAGTCCCTTGTTGATGGGGAAAACACTCATGGGAAAACGTATTATCAAGAAAACCACATAAATCCTCAAAACTCACACTGCACGTCATGGGAGATCTTCATTCTTTCCATTGGTGTTTTTTCTGGGAGATCTTCATCTTCCTTCTCCGGAGCCGCACACACCAGCCAGTCTCTCCACACAAAGAACCGACAGAGCCACCCTCCACGCTCCACGCTCTGAGACCCACACACCAAGAAAGCCTCCCTGGACATGTCAGCGTGGATGGCCGACGCCTCTGAACATCGGGGGCGACTGGCTATAACTACATTGGGGATGGACTTAACTTGACTTCAGGTCAATGTAAGTACATATTGATAAAACCATAATTTCTATGTAATATATAGGATCTACAGTAGTCTTTTCCATGCATATATTCAAATACACATGGAGTAACCCTGTCCACATCTGGGCATTCCGCTGTTGTTCGCAACGGGGTTCCAGATCTTCGCGTCGTCCGCATTTCAATGCACATTGTCCGCAAAACAAACTTGGCGCTGCTGAGGGATATATTTGATGTTTTGCTTTCTGCTTTCTCCTTCCTTTTGATGTTCCCAGGTTCTGTCAACACTGTAAACCAAACACTCCATGTGACTGGCATATTTACATACATTGGGGTGGTTGATTTCAGAGGTGAATATACCTGCTAAACCAAACACCTGCTACACCTCTTCTTCTATTGGGCGTAGAAACTTGTAGCTTTATTGTTTACCAGCTAGGTAAATATGCCAGTCTCACACACGTGTCTGGATGATGCAAATCCCTATGGCGAAGCGATTTCCGGAGCATGTCCAGCGAGCCCTGTCCATGTCCAGAGTATCCACGGGACGACCACATGGATTTTCTTCCCACATGGCATAGCGAAGTAAATCCAATGGTGCCTCTGACCGTTCCTACCTTTCGGTACCTTTCGTACTCAGCTGGGTCCGAACAGAACCGATCCTCGGTCCCTGTCTGGGCCGCTTCGACATCGGTTCGGCAAGAGGACGGTTCGGGTCTCGGAGCAGGGAGAAATGGCGAAAAACAGCCAGACGATGGCAGAGCTGGCAGGTTTTGGAGAGGTTTTCGAGAGAGGTCAGGGAGTGCACGAACCCAACCAAGTGGTTGAAACACATGGTTCTTTCCATCCTGGGGCACCAAAATAAACCCTGAGTCTGCACAGATGTGATTGGAAACTATCACTATGCATGCAGAATGGATGGGGTGTGTAACCCACAAATGGTTGGGGCCACCTGGCCACCCCAGTCACAAAGGCGCCCGTCAAGGCGTTCTTCCCCGCATAGGGATCAGAACCCTGGATGATGCGCCTCACCCTTGGGTGGGGGCACCAAGAAGCATCTGGTCGGACCCGAAAACGGCCCACGAACGGCCACCGCACGGCACTCTTCGTGAACCCCTTGGCACTCTTCGTACTCTTCGATCTCTTCGTGTTCGCCACACATGGGTGTGTAGTTTGAGAGTCGGAGGACCCTGACTCACGGTCTATGTCCATCGATTTCCCTTCTTCCAGGTCGAACTGGGAGGACCTCCTACTTTAAAGTACACCCACCATGGTCGACTCGGGTCGACTCGACTGCGCCTCCATTCGGAGATCAAACTCCGCCTCCAGCGGAGGTGGGCAAATCCAGGGAATTCGACCCATGAGCGACGAAGCGACGAGAAAGCGTTTCGACGAGAACACCAACAGGATTGGGGTAGTAGTTAGATTTGACCGGAAAAATGCTGTAAATGAAGCCATGGCCACAATATTGCTCGGTACACACAGGGGGTGTCCACTTTGCATGATTGTTTATATAATGAACTCACCCCAGTCTATTCGCTTTAGTTTTCCTGACTCTGGCGGATGTCCCGGAGGGAGCTGGAACGTCCACAAAGATCCGCAGACCTCCCTCTTTAGCATTTGATAGCTCAATGTGAAGTCAGGCCTTGTAGGTGTCAAGGTATAATGTGAAGTCAAACTTTTGACTACTAGAATTGCTTTTGAGGACTGCTACAGGCAAATACTAAAGGGACGATCGGTGGCCTTTGGTCAAATCCTCTCTCTCTCTCTCTCCATCAAGTTTGTGATCTTCGCGCCCACCAAGTCCTTGGCATCACAGCCCCCAAAATCGCCCGGGCAAGTCCTTTTGGAACCCAAGACGACGTTTCTCCGTCCCGTTCACGCCGAACCCGGACGTGACGAACTCGTCGTCGCTTCGTCGTCGAAACGGCGCCTCGTTCGTCGCAAAGTCGATGATTTGATACCTCGGAGCGTCGCGGTTCGTCCGTCGGCTTCGGTCCAGTCGGTGCTTCGTCCGGGGGGCTTCGGCGAAGACCGAAGCGTGCGTTCGTTTCTGTGAACGAAGTCAGCTTTGGCCGTTGCCATGTGCCTTTTTTTGCCCGGGGTTTCCAGCTTCACAAGGTGTGTGGGTGTGTGTGCCATCTGCGCTGCATGAAGAACTGGCACCTGGAGGAAGAATCCTCCCTTGGACTTTCCGGTACCTTCTGCTTTCTCCAAAGGCTCGTCCTTGGATGTGAAACCAAGTCACTCTCCCAAGCACCAGGTCCTTCCACTGCACGCAGCAGGGGACAGAAGACACCCGGCAATCGGATCCAAATCAGATCCAACAAATCCCAGACACTCCATGTATGGAAGAGTTGCAGACATGTACCCCGTGAACATAACCCATCCATGAAAAGGTAAATAGATCCAGTCCCATGGAGCGTCTGAGAATGGATCTACAATCTAAGGCTGGGCCAAGTAGATCAAGTACTGGGGGACATCAGAGGACCCAAGCTGCCTGGGCAGCATGAAATCATAAGAATAGCATGAGGGTGGATGATCTGTCTGGATGATCTGTCTTTGAGTTTCCGAAGAGAAATGCTCCCGGTATGATTTCACATGTTTGGTCAAGTTGTTGCAAGAACCAGTGATTGCTGTTGATAGGCCCAAAACCCGGTCTTCAAACCACATCTTGATAACAACCCAACGGTGATTCAGTGTACAATCTTGAGGCTGGCCAAAGCACCGTCTCCCAGTGCACCGTCTACGCTCGCATACCGTCTCCCAGTGCACCACCCATCTTCATTGACTCCACCGTCACCCGTCTTCTGTCGACCAGTGACAGAATTGTGCCCAACACAATGCCTGGCCACGGGCCACGGCGGTCAAATGCCAACCAGATCTCTGACCGTTGACGGTCAACGGTCAAAGAGCTCGTTTGAAGCGACGGTGCCGGAGTTCGAAGCGATGGTCCAGTTAGGTGTGGACATCTCACTCCTTTTGTTCCATGTCACTGTGTGACATGGAATTGTATATATAGCAGTGTAAGAGGAAGACCTCAAAGGATTCGACCCTCGCCAGGGCCGCCAGGGCTCGCCACGTCTTTCGCTTTCTGGGACGGATGTGATCCGATCAACGTGGAACCGCCGGGAGCCGCAACGAAGGACGGAAGGGCCGAGTGGTTTTTTCATCATAAATCGATATACACTCATAGACTAGCAGTTAGAATCTGAAAGAATAATTATACTTATATTCTAAGTGCTGGTCCCTGATAGTAACATGATATAAATCGATGGTCTGGTACGGTATAACCATACATGGATGGTCTGGGAATCAGACATCTCACAGGTGACATGTGTTTGCTTATTATGTCTCTGTCCAGAAAATAGGTGACTGGCTAAACCAATGGCTTAAGAAGTGCAAACAAAAGTCTTTCTTCAGGTGAAGTCTTTTGGGTACGCTGTGTCTTGGAGCCATAGACACACAGTTGACACATAAGGCTTTTCTTAATGTCGAGTTTCACGACGTACTGTTTCAGCGCATGCTCCAACCCACAATTTGATGCCTCAATCTGAAGGCTCCAAAGATAGCCAACCCATCACCACTTGGATTGCCGTTCATTGAACCCTGCATACTCCAGCCAAAGACCCGGTGCACCCGGGCTGCCGTTCACCACCACACCAGTCAACACCAGTCCTTCTACGCCCGTTCCACGCCTATCATCACTGCGACCGAGCTAATCGACACAAAGAAGGGCCGGTAGTTGTCGCCACCAATCTGGGCGCTGGTCGAGTCATCTCGAGTCCGAGTTTTCGTCTCATGCGTTTTTTTCAGATGGCGAGGGGAGTATGGCAACTCGGAGCAGTAACACATCTATGGAGGACGCATATCAGAATTTCTGGAACGAGATGGAATCCATTCCTGGAATGCTGTAAAGAATATACTTATCCCAAACACTCCATGGGACTGGCATATATCCGTACATTGGCCCCCCAAACCACCCCAATCGTAGGCGTATTGTATGCCAGTCCCATGGAGTGTTTGGTAATTGCTTGTCGGATGGACTCTAAGACCTCTCTCTTGAGGAACCAGTTTGTAGGAAAAAGCCAGGAACAAGGGCTACCACAAGGGACACAGGGCTTCTGCTTGAAACCAGGATGAAGACATAACGATGCATCACCAGATCCAAAGAATGTTTACAACACAAAACAAAAGAGGGTTGAACTATTGTTAGTTTGAAAGACATAGAATGGTTGGAAATAAACATATAGTTGGAAAACAAAGGGTTTATTTTCCATGGTTGGATATGGTTGCCATCAAAATATGGTTGTCTATTGTAATATAAGCATCATTCCTATAACAAAACAAAAAAAAAACACGTGTCCGTGTGGATGAGCAGTTCCGAACAACGCTCGTCTGGTCTCCTCTGCCCTGTTGTTGTCTTTACACTATTAAACGCGCTTTGCTGGTGGAATCCACCTAACCATCTGGTACAGATCACAAATGCGATGAATCAAGGATTTGGGCTGAAGACTGGAAGAGAGCTGTTCTTGTTCACAATTCCGCAATCTTGGAGCTTGGCACCTGGGGAGACTCTTCTTGTGAAGTGGAAATCACGAGAGACTTGGTGGGCAAAAAGTCGCCAAAAAGGTTCTCCCTGACCAGCTCGGCCAAGTGCCAAAAGGTTGGAGTTGCAGGATAGAAATGTAGTTCTGTGCTGCCCAGATTGAAAATATACTTGGCGTAAAACAAAGTTATCTATTGTATTAACATGTAATAATTGAAACCTTGTTTAGGTCTTTTGACAAGTCTTGTCAACACTCACTTGGCAACAAAAGAATGAACACAACAAGTGAACATTCTTGTTCTCAATGCCTCTGTGCCTCCGCTATCTATAGTCACATTTTGCCACACATCACGTCATAGCTACATATCACGTGAACAAAAGAACCCGTTGTGTGGGAGATTCATACAATTTAAACAAGTGTTCATACTTTTGGTCCGAAGTGCAAAGAAACCCAAAACACCTCAAAGATCTCTTGACTCCCCCACCTTTTACCCCACCGGCTTACACCTGAAAACACCCCGAGTCGGACCGGGCGCCCCGGGGACTCTCGCTTTGGGCGCCCCGGGCACAATTGTTGAGCCACATGCAGTGGTGATCAAAGGCATGAACGCACTTCTTACAGACGCGACCTGAGATCTGCTGTTGCTCTCGAACGGTTTGAGGCGTCGCACACGGGTTCACGGGTACACTCGGGGGAAGCAGCGAGGTTCCGCACTCCAACTGAGTTCGGAGAGGTTGTAGAAGAGTGAGACCACCCGCGGGACTACCAAATGACACCCCCATGACTCACGGGCTTTGCCGGAACGACCTGGACCGACCATGGCTGTTCGGGTTCGGGGTCGGGAGACCTGCGTCGAAGCACGCTGCACCCCAGACCTCCAACAAGTCACCGTCGACCAGCGACGCATCACCGTTTCTCTCTTCTTCCATCCCCATCGGTCACGAAGTCCGAAGAAGGACGGAGGTGATTTGTGCTGATAACACCTGTTTCCGGTGTCCCCTGGACGGTCTGGGTCGAAAATGGTGTGAATCCCCGTCCTACAAACCACGTCCCTCGTCTACACGAAGCCCGAAGCTTCACCACACGGCGAAAAAAGGGCACACCCGTTGCCACGCTTCTTTCGAAAACGGCACCTCGTTGCAGGGCGATTGAAGCAAAGGAAAACAGGTCCCCAGGTCCTGGCAAGTTCCATATTCAATCCCCTGAACAACACCCTCTACAAGCTGTGTGCCTGGACCTTCCTTTCGCTCGCCCGGTGGTTTTGGGATACCCCGGTCCCTCACCTCTAAGAGCCTTCTTCTTCTAGACACCTCTTGGAGGGTCCTGGTGGCCTTGGGTATCTATTGAAATAGGAAGACACACACACACACTCTGACATTGGTTTTCAGTGACTCAGTTACCACGATGGGAAGGATGGCGGTGGAACGGCATGGTGATTGGGTCAGATCACTTGAATTGTTTAACATAGTTTCCCTCGCTCTGCTGAACAAACGCTGCACATCTGCGGACGATCGGCGGCTCAGCTGCTGAAAGAAACCTGTTTGGGGGGTGGAGGCATGAAGAACCATGGAAACAAGGAACAGCGGCAGGGTGGACCAGTGGAGTCATTGTGTTGAAAGCAGGTACGTCAGTTCCGCGTCCGGAACTGATATCAGTACCGCCACAGAAGCCTCTTCGTTGGACTGTCACTTCTGTGGGGTAGACAGTCCCCCTGCCGAAGTTGGTTGAGAACCCTTTGTCCAGGGGTGGACACACACAAATCGCCGGCTTCGGCGCTTTTTCCAAAGAACGGTGGCACACATACGGTGCCGCTTTGCGGCGCGCATGTGAAAAACCTGAATAGTCACCTAAAAAGCCTTAGAAACAAAAGGAAAGAAAGACAGAAAGAGCAGCGCCAAGAGGGGAAGAAAGAAAGATAGGTGTAGAAAAATGTAAAGGTGAATACTTAGCCCTTGACTGGGGTAGGGAAACGAACCTCAAGAACAAACCTAAAAAGCCTGAAAGAAAGCCCAACAAGCGACGAAAAACGCAAGAAGGAAAGCGGGGGGGGCAGGGAGGGGGTGTATGTCCATGTGTGTGTTTGAATACCTAGCACTCTAGAATTACTGAATACTTAGACGAAGTGAATTAGGTGCACTAGTTAGGGAGCGGGACTTTAGTCTTAGACCGCCCCGGTAGGAAAGACTAGAACAGGAACAACACAGGGAAAGGCACCGACACACAAGTGTGTCGAGTACCATTTCCCTATGTTGCCCTAAATAGGTAGGGAGTAGAACACTGCGGGGGGGGGGGGGGGTTGGGGAAGCTGCCTCCTTGGGGGTGAGCACCGCTGAATGCCCGAGCTTGCGCTTGGTTTTGCGGGCGCCGCCCCAATGCACCGCGCCGGTCAGGCCGGCCGCCAGGCTCTGGACGAGGGCATCCACGTCTCCGGGGTGCTTCGTCCAAGGCCCGGCGGCTGTCGAAGTAATGCCGTTTTTGGGCCCGGCGGCCAATGCATCAGTTGATTCTATGGGGGGGGCCGTGACTTCCGGTGAAGGTCCAGTGAAAAGTGGTACGTTGGGGTGGTTGAATTCCGATGCAAAAAACGGCGCCCCTGTGACGGGGATCACACTCAGCACCCGAGTGGGACGGCTGAGCGAAACACACTCTGACATTGGTTTTCAGTGACTCAGTTACCACGATGGGAAGGATGGCGGTGGAACGGCATGGTGATTGGGTCAGATCACTTGAATTGTTTAACATAGTTTCCCTCGCTCTGCTGAACAAACGCTGCACATCTGCGGACGATCGGCGGCTCAGCTGCTGAAAGAAACCTGTTTGGGGGGTGGAGGCATGAAGAACCATGGAAACAAGGAACAGCGGCAGGGTGGACCAGTGGAGTCATTGTGTTGAAAGCAGGTACGTCAGTTCCGCGTCCGGAACTGATATCAGTACCGCCACAGAAGCCTCTTCGTTGGACTGTCACTTCTGTGGGGTAGACAGTCCCCCTGCCGAAGTTGGTTGAGAACCCTTTGTCCAGGGGTGGACACACACACACACACGACCACAAAGGAAGAAAGACCACAGTACGACCAAAGGAACACCCACAAACTGTGGTCTCGTTCTATACTAGTACTATAGGAATACCCCCAAGAAACCCCAAAACAGAGTCGATGTGTGTGTGTGTGTTTTTTAATGAATTATATAATTAAGTAAAAGCCCCAAGAAACCCCAAAACAGAGTCGATGTGGTCATTAAAAAAGAAAATGTATATAAGATCAATAAAAATCCAGACCAAATGTGATCTTTGGCAGATCTTTGGTTCTCTCTTGTACAGCCAAAGCCAACACGGACCGGAATCGCACCGAATTTGTGTCGCTTTCATCAACAACCGAGTGCATCCACTCCCCAAACCTCCCCGTCCCACCCCCCCAGGCATCCTAAGGCTGTAGTATTCAACAATACGATCCAGTGAACCATTCAATTTGCTCCAAGACCTCCCAGTTCGCCCGTGTCAGACCACGTGTGGCCCCCATCGCCCCATCTGCACGCGCCGTCGCTTGGGCCCAGCGACAGTGTTTACTTCGAGCCTGGACCGTGGTCGCGCACCTCAGCTGTGGCGCGATGTTCGGTGGGATGGGAGCGATCGAAGGTCTGGTGTTTAGACGTGTGCGTCAGCTTCCTCTTGGTGATCATTCACAAATCTGGAAAAAACTGTAAGTACCGGTTTGGGTTGTGGTTGGGGCTGCACCCTATAGCATATACCAGTATGTAAGTGCCGTTCTTTTGGAGTCCAATTCCACAAGTCGTGGAACCCCAGTCGGGCCTTCCTGCCCACCACGAAGCATTACCGGCCCTTTTTCATGCGCGGCTTACCTCGCGAGCGAACGGGTTTCGACCGGTTCACGAAGCCTTCCTGACCGGGCTCTCCCAACAGACCGCAGTAGGGGAGCTCTTCTAACTCCTCGCGGGCTCGAGCTCTTCCCAAGGAGTCGACGAGTCGAAAGGCACGGCCGATGTGGACCTATGACATCCAGAATTTGTCCAGTCTGATTAGGACGACATATTGTATAGGCCCTCAAGCAGGCAGAAGCCCGGCTTCTGAGGTCTTCAGAAGGGTCGCTTGGAACATGAACAAACCTAGGACCTAGGGGGACTTCTAACCAAAGCGGCCTGGCCACTGGCTGCTATGTAGGCCTGGCAGCATAGACATGTCCAGGACTTACCTGTAAACATCACTCTCTTCCCAGCCTGAAAACCTACATCGCAGCCTTGGAAAACCATTCAAGCCAAGCTTTAGACCTGCTTTGGTGGTTAAAAATGTTAAAATTATATACCTGGACCCTCCAACAGGTCTTTCCTGGTGAAACCACCTGTTAGGGTCTCCGTCTCAGCCCAACCCGACAGGGTGGTATAACAATAATAATAAGTGATTTAGCACCCTATTTAGCACCCTACAGGTCCAGTCTGACCCTCCAGTCTCCTTTTCAACCTCATTGACGGCTGTGTTTTTGTATGATCAACTCCAGTATTTCAGGATCAACTCAGGTCCTGTAGGGGTCATGTCATGTACATGGTCAATGTCATGTCCTGACCTGTAGGGGTCATGTCATTGACCATGTGTTTGTGTACATGGTCAAAACCAGGAGACCGTCCACACCACAGGAACGGTCGGGCCGGTCAACCTCTACCGCCGCCGGGGACGCATGGGCGAACGCACGATGTTCTACTTGAGAAGGATCAATCCCTGACATGGGAGTGGCATAATGACCAGAACCTTAGGGTGCTTGAAAGGGGGTCATGTAAGTATCCCAGGACCCTCCCAAAAGGTGTCTATAAATAGCATCTTTTTTGTATGAGGTGATTCGGGGTGCCCAAAAACCACCAGGTGAGTTCGGAAAGTCCTGCATGGTATATTTCAGTCCCACTTTCAGTCTCATGGAGTGTCTCAGATCCCTTTTTTTCGGGCACACCGAGTGACCGTTTAACCCGAGGCGCTGGAAACCCACGGCGGTCACGAAAAACGGGCGATTAACAACAAAAACAAACCGCTCCTCCTCATTAAAGAGAGACTCCTGGCGAAGAAAGAGCGATGTCTGAAGACATGGTGTCACACGTGTTTAACACTTTTTTTACACGGTTTTTTGCTCCAAGTTTCGAGACGCTCAAAAAACAGGTCAGGTCGATCTGATCTATCGAATCCAGATTTCTTCTCAGTGACGTGGGGATCCTTCACAAGTCTGACTTCTTGGGACACCCTTGCCCCAGCCGTTAAGAGAAAAGTTCATCTGGATTAGACTCGTCTAAAACCCTTAGAGTCACCTTAGTCCCAAAAAAATGATTAACGGATTAAATGAAGGTCTTCCGTCCTAGGGTTACACAATGGTACTGTTTCATGATGTTGTTCTATTGCCTGCAATATGTTCGGTCACGCAGAAACAACCTCATCCAGAATGGGTGCTGAAGAAGGGGTCAGCGAACGGTGGCTTGCTTGGAACACTCTTGGAGTCGGGCGAAATAACGGTTCATCACCAGGATTCTGATGAGCTGTCCAGTCTACCAGTGGCATCCACTTCTCTGGGAGCTCCATGACTGATTAATCCACTGCAAATTCATCGACCTGGTATTGTCAAGGGGTGGGGGTGACAAAGAGTTATATATATATATATTATATACAAACGCCCTTCAAGCACAACTCCTTTGTGGAGACAAGTGACACTGGCGGTTCGGTGACCCTTTCTGGCTCAGAACTGCCCTACCCTCGGTGCCCAGTTGCTGCACATCTTACCCAACAATCAGTGCCAAAACCCTCATAATGTGTCATTATGTGGGGTGTCTCCCAAAGGCAGTTCTCCTTTTGTTCTTGAAGGGGAACACAAAAAAAGAACCCCAGGTGGACGAGCCATAGCATTGTCCACCTACCGCCGCCTGCGGCGCCCTCAAAATGATCCATCCAACGCTCACCCGACGTGTCCGCGCAACGACCGGACACCACGACCGCCACGACCGGACACCTCTCGCCGGACCGAGTTCCGAAACGAGTTCGGCGGCGCTTCCGTCTGCGGCGCACGTCTCTCAGCACGAAGGGATCCATCGGGTCGCACTTCGTCGCGAGAAAGGTGGAGACCACCTGGCACCGTCGACCGGTGACGCAGGCCGTCACCCGTCACCCGTCACCCGACACCAACAACCAGTTAAGCTCCCGGTTATTTTTTGGGGGGGAAACAGGCTGTGTAGTCGCTGTGTATGATAGGGAAATCTAAACTCTCAAGCGCCCCAACCTGGTTTTGGATGATTTTGGTCTAGTTTCCTTCTTCCGGGGGGGAAGCGTTGTCTTCGAGGTCTCCCTACTTTGAGCTACACAGCCATGTCTGGTGTCAGGAACAACTGGGGATGGGTCAAAAGCTTGGAACATCTAACTGGTCGACGAGGGGGCCGGCTACCCACCCAAAGTTCCAACATATAATGTATATATATATATATATATTATATAATTACATCCCCGGGTGGTTGTTGGACACCCTTAACCATATTTGTAGGTCCTGGTATACCCTCCTTATGCTGGTAAGTCTGCCCACCCTGTGGGGTGGTTTCTGAGGCTTAGCCCAAGGCGTTGCGAGGTGGTCCCCAACGTCATGGCTCCAGTCAGACTGTGTTCCCAAGTGGAAAGCCATGGAACGACTGTGTGATACCCATAGGGATCCGTTTTCGTACCTTCTCAGAAGGTGATTGGAGACACGATGATGTAGATTTGGAAGGTCCAAGCACCTTCTGAGAAGTCGGCCTACACTCGAAGTCTTGAGGGCACTCTCTTTGTGAACATGAGCCGGAATGCTCCATTGAAACCCTTACAAACACCAACTCCTGAAATGTTTCGGCATGGTGGGTCGTGTTCTTCATTTAGAGGCTGAGAGTCTGAGAGGACACAAGGGTTCACACAGATCGTGTGGACCCTTTGTGTTCTCTCACCTGTGTTGGTTTCTTTTCTGTCTGAAACCGTCCAAAACCGTCCCAACCCCGTGTCCAAACCCGTCGGTGTGCTGCCGGGTGACCAGAGAGATGACGCTGATCGCGAAGCACGAGGTCACCCCGATCTGGTCGGTGTGAAACGGCGAAAAAGCAAATTACGGTGCGGCTCGGTGTGGAGGCTGGATGAGCTGAAGGAACTCCCGAACGGGCGAAACCAGGGTTTCGGAAAAGCCGGTGAGAGAGAGCCGGCCAATGTTTGGGGTATGCCACGCGCTGGGTATGGTTCAGAAAATCATGGAAGTACCACCGTCCGCTACGTGGACCAGCTGGTCTCCAGCGTCCGGACCTGCTCAAGCAGGATGTTGTCACCACCGGAAATCGCCATCTCTGGGCAGTTGAGGTGGGAAGCCACTGAGCGTTGGCGTAGCCAACAACTGGTGGTCTTTCATCTATGAACCTACAGGCAGTGGATGATGGTTAGAAAGGGTCTTTCTGGTATAAAGCAAATAATAAAGTAACATCTTGTTTACCGACTGTTACAGGTTTACTGGGACACCCCCAACCAACAACAACAAAATCAGATCAGATCGACCCAATCCCCTGTGGTAACCCTTTGCCCAGCAAGAAGTGAGCCCCGAACTATAACAACATGAGACCTAGGCACCTCGGGTCCAAATCTATTTCCCGGCTCCATGTAGGTCTTTTGGCCAAAACCAAAGGCTACGAGGCATTGTCTGGCATACTTCTAAGCCTCTCGCAAACACCGATCAACAATCAGGGTGTGTATTCAGTGTTCAATCATTTTCACTACAGATGCTCACATTTTCCTTTGGGCAAAAAACACAATGTGTTGAATCATGCGCATGGAGGAGAAACATCGTCCTTCTTCCGAAGATTTCCGGCATCTCCTGTTCCTGCAAGGGGCAACCAGCCCATCAGCCTGGGCTTCCATCGTCTTGATCATCGGAATGCAAAAGATCAGGTACCTCCCGCGCGAGGTGCAGCGCCCATGCGTTTTGCACGTGTTCAAGCCATGTGGCTGCACGTTCCTTGTAAGTAATGCTGTTCTGATGCCAGTGCCAAGGGCTTTGTTGAGGTCCATCAAAGAAGAGGCAACCTGTAGAACTGAACTAGAATTCAATTAGCAAATCGTACTGTACAGCAAGACAATGCGACAGTAATTAACAACTCAGTGTAGAGGTAACACTCTAACTCATACGATGTTGCTAGGCACCCCCAATTCTTAAGCCCTCCATGTTTTATCCGATGTTTTTTATGCCTATAGGGTTCCTGTCTCATTTCCTCAGGAGAAGGTGCTTAGACCCCCCTGGCACCGACCCCACCCCCTTCGAAACGGAGGGGGCGGCCAGGAGCCCTAGGGTATCTTATTCCAAACATCTCAACATATTGTCTCACATGTTGAGTCTGTTCCGTGATGGTTCTGCTCGCGTCTTTCATGTCTGTCATCGAAACCAGTGGAGGGCTCGGTCTGCTGATGAGTACCCCCTACGCGTCCCTGATTCGTGATCACAACCAAATGAAGTACGTCATGAGTCGGAAAGAACATGAAAGTTCATGACCTATACATGGCAAAAGTCTACATAACCTATACCCAGAAAAGAAAATACAGAGTCAGAAGGTCTCCAACCACTGGCGTCGCATCTCTGGGGGCCCCAGACACCAGCACATCCGTACCAAAGACGATCCAGCTCACCACCTGGCGTCGGCACCGTGCAAGACCGAGTCCCGTACAGTAGAAAGAGCCCCCCCAAAAACGACGTCTGACTGGTGCGACGCCCTAGGGAACAAGGGAAGTTTCGAAGAGGAGCTTCTATGAGATTCCGGATCCAGCCAGCCTCAGTCCCGAGTCGCACCAGTCAGAAGTCCACGAAGAAGTGAACACTTCCAAGTTCAAGGTGGCAAAACTCCGTGTCTTCAGACAAAGGTCGTGAAGGGCTTTGCCGTCACAAAAACGCCCTTGTTTCACCTCGAAGCTGTGAGACAATGTGAGACATTTGTTCCTTCGGGCCCTCTGCAAGCGTCAGGCCCTCCGCTGAAACCTTAGTTCGGGTCCCGTCCCTCCTTTCCGCCCAATGGGGATCCTCTGTTCACCAGTTCGAGCGAACAGGTGGCGTGAGAAGTTTAATGAACTGCTTAATGTGTCTGCCTGTGTGAGTCTTCTGGTTCTAGACCTTCCCTACGTTGGCGCCTGCAATGGGAGCTCTCTACCATTCCTACCTTTGAAGTCCTTGCCGTCTCCCGTTTAACGCCTCGGAAGGCTTGTGGGCCCGATGGCCTGGAGATTTGTTTAAAGCACCCACCCCAATCTCCGTATCTTCTACGAATATATTCTTCGCGCCTGGGTCGGTGTTACCCCTATGCCTGAGGAGTGGCGTTCCAGGTATATCGTCCCGTTGCCAAAAAGGGGTGATCTCTCCGAGCGCTCGAATTGGCAAGGCATTTGCCTGTTAAGTTATCGGTGCCCGGAAAATTACTTGCTAGAATTATCGCTGTTCGGTTGCAATCCTGGGAGGAGTTTGACTGCGATGATTTGCTTCACTGATGACAAGAAAGGATCTTCAGCCAAGTACTGCGTCTAACATGGAAAAATACATGTAGGGGACCAACACGTACCAACACTCCCACCTACAGATTTGTGCGGTTGGCATCCTTTAGCATTAGTATCATTAGTTAGAGTCGACCTGGTTGGTCCTGGACTTGGAATGTCCTTCTGGAACAGGGAAGTCTATTGTAGGTATCGAAGAACGAATCACAGATCCCCATCTGAAGTCTCCATTGGAAATTTCTGAGTCTGATTTTAGACTTGCTTAAATGTTCGAGGAGTCCAATCCTACGCAGGACTCTATTCTCATGGTTCAAAGGATTTGCCAAACATGACCTTTCGCGCCAAGCATGATCTTCTTGACAAGGACAGCAGGGTCTTGCACCATGTTCAGCCACCTAAAGCATTCACCCACCAAATGAGATCCACGCCGCCCACACCGCCCACGTGCAGCCCTCCCTCGCCATGTGCGGCCATGCTGCAAGCGGTCCAGAAAATGCTGAGATGGAACGATCGATACGGGCGGGGCAGTCGCTCCCACACGTCCCGGCGGTGGCCGATGTGGTGGTGGTGTTCGTTGTCGTGGTGCTGGTTGTGGTGGATAACTGTTGATGTAGGTGAGTGATGTTGGAATGGTCACGGAGTTGCAATTGGCAAAGGCGGCAATCCCGATGTGTGTCACTGAGTCCGGGATGGTCAAGGTTGGCAAAGAGCTGCAATCTGCAAAGGCCTCGTCCCCAATGCTCGTCACGG